CCAGATGCAGTCGGCGTAGGGAGCGAACGCGATGGCGCGCTGGGGTTTGGGTGGGGGGCGGAGGGGGCAGGTGAGGGTGGGAACCGTATACCACAACGGGTGAGGGTTCGGATGCAGAGAAGCAGAGCTCCTGGCGAAAAGAAGGGGATCCATCTGTGTACGTGCTGCACGTGTATGGCTGCACATGTGTGTAGACATCGTATAGTCATCTGCATCTATATCTCTCTCGCTGCATATATATATGTATGTTTGTGTGTATGCATGTATGTATGTATGCATGTATACCTGTATGCATTTATGTATGCATGTATGCCTGTCTGTCTGTCTGTCTCTCTGTCTGTATGTATGCTTACAAACACAACCATATATATATATATATACGTGTGGTGAGTGTGTTTAGGGCGCAGGCGTCGTTTTCAAGCTTTTCCTCTGGCAACGCTGATCGACGCCCCCCTCCGAGGCTCTCAGAGTCCCACAAAAGGTCTCATGGGCCCTCAGTGGCTCTCGGAAGCCATCGAAGGCTCTTCGAAGGTTTCGGTGACCTTCAGAGGTTTTCAGATAGCTCGCACAAGCTCTCATGGGCCTTCAGAAGCTCTCAGAAGATCACAGAAGCTCACAGAGGCTTTCAGGGTATCTCAGAAGGTCTCAGGAGCTGTCAGCAGCTCTCCGAGGCTCTCAGAGTCTAGCAGAAGCTCTCAGGCTCTCAGAGGCTCTCATCTGCGCTGAAGCCCAGAGGAACGTTGAGAGGCAATTCCTGGGCCTTCGTGGGAACGATGTGCCCTGGAGCCCGACCAGCGGGCGAATCACCAAGCTGGACCAGCACATCCAAACATTAGGCCGAACATGATGCCAAATTCGTCGGGATTGAACGGGGGTCAGGCCAGACTGTCAGACTAGGCTAAACATGGACCGAGAATATACAAGAGCCGATAGCTGAATCCAACCTGACGGATGAAGAGGAGAGGAAGGAAAACGGAAGCGCACAGCTGGAGGAAGAATCTGTCGAATGCATGTTGGCTTCTGCGAGGAAGGCGCACGTGGCCCGCCCGTGCGCTGCAGGCATAGGTTGTCAATGATACATCGATAAGGGCTCTTATTTGAGGGCAGACGGACAGACACAGAAACCGCCCACGGAGACAACTACATAAAAAACCGACGGAACCCACAACGAAACCGACACCGACAGACCGCACTGAACCGGCCGAGCCCGGAGGAACAACAAAACTGCACAAACAGAAACGTACGGTCCGCGCATAAGCAGACGACGGGCTCCAGCGCCGATCCGAGCAATCCGCGCGGACCTCGGCGGAAAGCAGATGCTAGAGGCCTCTAGATGGGGTCGGAGCAGAGGGGGTCGGAGGATCGCGCCGCATCGCCGATACATCGGCGATGAATCAGTGATGCATCGGCGATGCATCGGCGATGCACCAGCGATGCGTCGTCCACGTGGGCGATGCATCGGCGACGTCGACGTGAAGCAAATCGGGCTCCACATCGAGCCGCATCGCCGATGCACCACCGATGCGGCGCGATCCTCCGACCCCACGTGAACCGACCCCATCTAGGAAGCCTCAAGATTCTCAGCCGACCGAGCCTAACCGACTGCGACGCAGCCGAGCCGAGCCGCAGCCGTGGACACCCCCGAGGGCGTGCCTTAAGAGCGGCGGAGGCCAGCTTCCCTCCCCCGCGGGGGCCGCGCGGGCAGCCGGGCCAGCAGCGCGGTGCCACCGGGGGTGGGGTGGAGTTTGGGGCGTCCGAGAAGGGCGGTGTCCAAGAGAGGGGCTCGCAGGTCATATGGTGCGCCCGCACAGTAAGGATGGGGCAGCCTTCCCGAGGGTACCCTGGCATCCTTACCCCTTCGGCTCATCCTTGGCGACTTTCGCTGGCCAGCCTCCTTCGAAAAACATCCTCATGGGCCTCCAAGGCCCCTCGCATCCTTACCGCGCATCCTCACGATACGGGTCGACCGTAGCCCGAGGCGAGGGCGCGGACCAGGGGGGGGGGGGGCAGGGGTCGCTTTGGCATGGGACGAGGAGCCATGACATCCTTGGAGATCTCGTGGCCCTGGCCCTGAGATCCGCTCCCCCCCCCCCCTGGTCATCCCCCCAACCCCCTCCCCCCTCTCTTGTCGAGGGATGCAACAGCGCCCCCACCCTGCGTGACAAGCGCGAGGTCCGTAGACCTCCTGGGAGCTCCCAAAGGCCAGAGAGCCGCCAGGACGCCGTGCGACACGCGCGATACGCACGGTTCCCCCGGTCAGCCCACAGGAGGTTCAGCGCACAGCACCTCGTAAACCAGGGTAGGGGCGTTTTTGACGCCCTTGATCTTGGGCGCTCCCGAGGGGAGGGGGGAGGCCGTGCCCCTCGGGCTGGGACCTCCCGGGCCCTGAGACTCCCTGCGGCGCCGGCGGGCGGAAGGTTTCTTTTGTGGGTTATTCACCGGCGGCACGTGCCATTATTATTTTATTGTTTTGTTGTTTTTTGGTAGTTTTTTGTTGGTTGCTCTGGGAAAAGGTCAGGGTGGCCTCAGGTCGGGCATGTCCTCCTGCAGGCGTATCTTGGAAGCACAGCGAGAAATAGTCGATACGTATTCAAAAAAGCCCCAAGACGGGCCAAGAGTGCCCCAAGAGGCCCCCACGACGATCCAAGAGGGCCCCGAATCGCCGAATGATCTGTCCAAGACGCCTTGACGGCCTCCAGACGGCCCAGGAGGCCTGCGAGACGCCCCAAGAGGCCTCCAGGACCGTTCCCACGAGAGCCCCAAGATGCAAAAATCATGGATTTCCCGTACGTTTTTCAAGAATTTTGACGTTCTCGCCTCTTCCGCTTCCCCACGCGCCAAGACGGCCCAAGAGGCCCCCAAGATCGCCCCGAGACGGCCCAAGAGGCCTCCAAGAGAGTCCCGAAACGGCCCAAGAGTGCCCCAAGACGGCCCAAGACGCCTCCAAGACGGCACAAGAGGCCCCCAAGACGGTTCAAAGAGAGTGCCCAGACGGGGGACCCGAACGGACATTTCGAGCCCTCAGCCCCGAGAAGACCCCAAGAGGCCCCCAGGGAAGCCCAAAGAGGCCCCAAGAGGCTCCCAAGAGGCCCCCAAACATCCCCCCAGAGGCCCCCGAGAGCGCTCGGAAGCAACCCCAAGAAGCACGTTTGAGGACTCAACCCACGTCAGCATCGTCGTCGTCGCTACCGCCGCCGCCGCCGTCGTCGTTCCCCTTCAGGGTCGGCGGCACCGGCCGTAAGGCCTTCGCAATAGTCAGTACGTATTCAAAGAAAACAGTGAAACACAACAGGAGCAGCGTCCCCTGAGGATCTCTTGTCCTATAGCTATTTTTGACTTTTCCTCTTGCAGAAGGACATGCCCGACGTAAGGGCAGCCTGCGCCTCCAACGCCAAAACCGCTGCGCGTCCAGCGAGGCCGAAGCGAAGCCGCGGTGGACCTCTCAGCGGAGGTCGGTGAAGAGCTGGTCACCCACGGGGGCGACGCAAAACTTCTGCTGGACTCTGCTGCGGACCCAACCGCGTGGGAATCTAATCACTGTCACCACTCGTGTCAGCGCCGAGCGACTCCTGCACACGATACCCCCCGCAAGGATCCCCTCTGAGACGCCCGCAGTAGCATGCGGGAGGGAGGCGGGGAGAAGAACCTCCGAGGCGGGTGGGAAGACGAGGGAGCGGGGGTGAGGAGAGCAGAGAGAGAGGGAATGTACACGAGGAAGAAGCTCCTCCCCATTTTCGGCCCTCCCCCTCCCACTGGACCTCCCACGAACTATTTCTACACCGTCCTGTGGTGTCGGGTCCTCGTTTTGAAAAGACAGCGCTTCGCGTTTCCCTCACTCCTCCCTCCTCCTCCCCCCCTCCCTCCTACCATCCCTGCGTCCGTAGCCATTTTGGCTCAAGCCATTTTGGCTCAAGCCATTTTGGCTCAAGCGCGAGCCAGATTGGCTCGTTTTGGTTCCCCATTCAGTTCGCGGGATCTCAACCCGCACGCGTTCACGATTATCCCTTCGGCGCCAGGCCATGGCGAGGAAGGGCGGAGGAGGAAAAGGTGTGGTCTCTTGGGCGCCGTGGCACCGCAGTTGGTCGCAGCCCCATCCGCCAGATGGAGGTGGGACAAGCAAAGGCGCTGTCCGCCCGCTGAAGCCCCGCGATCCCAAGGTCTGGCCCCCGCTCGTCCCTGGCCCTCAAGACCATGGTGGCGATGGTGGTGGCGGCGCTCATCATTCTGCTCCTTCCCGTTGGGAATATTTGCTGCGTGGATGTCGCCGCAGCGAGCACCGCTTCTACTACTGCAAACACTGTGGTAGCCTCAAGTCGGAGTCTGCATACCTCAGTGGCGCATGGGCTTCGGGGAAGTCGCCCCTCGAGTTCTTCAAGGGCACTCAGGTCGGTGGAGGCAAAGGTGCCAGCGGCAAGGGCTCGGGTGTCGAAGGAGGCTCGAACACTACGGCGTCTGCTCCGTCTTCAAAGCTCTCTGTGGAGGAACATCTGCAGATGGCCGCTTTGTGCGAGAAGGCAGGCGATCTCCACGGTGCTCGAGGTTACAGGACAGCGGCTCAGGCGCTCCAGGCGCCAGAGCAGCACCAGGTCCCCTTGCAGTCCCAGCTCAACCGCGCACACCAACAGGCTCGTGCAGTGGAGAAGAAACTCAACAGTGCCGTGGACCGTTTCGAGCAGCTTGAACAGCAGCAGCTGGCAGCACAGAAGTCCCACGTGCTGCAATTCAGGGCGGATCTGGAAGCCGCAGAGGCAGAGCACAGCGGCCTGGTGCGCCAGCTGCACAATCAGCTCCAAGACGGTCAATCGCAGTCTGCAGTCGCTCCAGGAAACAAGCTCAGCCTCGAAGACTTGCTGGGCGAGCAGCGCTTCTCGGCGGCCTTCGACCTCGGCGTGGGAGATTGCTTCAAGATCGTTGAGGACGAGGAATCACTCTCGCCTGATGAACTTCAGCAATTATCGGCGCGAGTGGACCTTTTCAAGACTGGCATCGCGGACATGGCT